TACCCACTTGTACTCCTGGGTGGAGAGGGGCAACCGTAGATAAAGTGCCTTGCCCAAGGACACAAGCGATTTGCACAGCGAGAGTTTCGAACCCCCGACCTCGAGGTTGGGAGTCCAAGCCACAACCGATGCGCCAACCACTTCTACTTAAATCACCTCGTTTTCTCAATGCGCACTGCTTACAGTAAATCACTGTTCCACCTTAAAGCTAATAGAATACATTTATCTTTTAAAAATTACCAAACATATTAATATTTTCTATGAAAAAGAATTTCAAATTTAATGAAACATTTACATGAGCTTTTAAAAGTTTGGTATATTTTAACCTAATTTCCATAAATTGGATAAAACTCGATATTTCTTATATTAATTAAGGAATGATTGAGGATTATAATGAACTAAGTCATTTTAGTGTGAACAAGTGTGGACTATTCGAAAATTCAATCCAAAACCAGATTAATTTTCAGTTTTATGCTGCCTCCGCTTTATATTCAACCCAGTCAACCGTTAGACAAAATGATAATGAACACAAAACTAATTGCAACAGTAATATTTTGCGGAATCTGTTCTTGAAATATACACATAATAACATACTAGAAGTCAGATGGAACATTGTTAATTTTAAAGATATTTAATGAGTTAACATCAAACAGTTTATCATACAACTGCTGTGTTGAAGTTTATAAAAGCCTGTTGTTGCCAAGTTGTTGCTAAGCAAAAAATTATTAATATTAAGGTACATGCCCATGCGCAATCTAAAGGTGGGGAACACATTGGTTTGTTACGTCAAAGGATCTGTTGCTGAGTCTTTCTCAATAATACCTCCATTGTTAGATTTATGTAGCGCACTTTATACTGAAGTCTTAAAGCGTTCCACGTGTGGTCGAGCGTACAGTATCTTGCTTCTCCCCTAAGAGTCACTTAGTGTTTGAGTTACTCAGTGAACCAATACCAGCTACTCTCATCGACCACAGGAGTGACACCCTACTCACCCCGGGGTGACACCCTACTCATCTCAATAGATGTAATGGGTTCTTCAATGTGCACATGAACCAATTATGTACCCTGGCTTATAGTCCTTACCCGAGAAAGTTCACGGTAATTCTCGGTTCCATCCTTCTGTAGTGCCAAATTTATTTTGACCTCCAGAAGCCCAAAATATTATTTAAGATGAATTTATTTCCAAAAATACTGTATTATTATTATTATTATTATTATTATTATTATTATTATTATTATTATTATTATTATTGTTATTATTATTATAATAATTATTATTATTATTAAGCTCAAACCTGTGCTTATATTATGGCTATAAGTTGCAGCATCCCTGTTTTAATCACTTGGCCATTTTGACTTGCCTAAATGCAGTACTGTTGAACTTGCCTAAGTCGAATCCAAAATTGCATTGAAAAATTATTTGACTTTAGTAAGATTTGACTTACAGATCGTTAATATTAACACAACAATTTGGCTTGTAAAATAAGATTGACTTAAAAATTATTCAAGTTAGGCAAAGTCGATGAGTCACACATCATTATTGTAAATTTTTATCTTTTCAGATGATGAACGACCAAATATAGAATGTCCTGAATTGATTGAGAGGACTGTACTGCCTGGAAATAACAACGCTAGCATTAACTATGACATTGTCGTCAGTGATAATGTGCTAGTCTCTATGTTAAACTCTAATTACAGTGAACTTTCAATTGCCAGCAGTGCCCTTGGCTACTTTGTGGATGAAAACTTAGAAACCATCCCAACAACAGGAATTTTTCCTGTTGGTGAAACCGTTGTGATGTACATTGTCTCGGATACCCGCAGCCCAGTTGCTAATATGAATAATTGTTATGTAACTGTTGTAGTTACGGAAGGTAGGTGTGTGTTTTTCTTTTGTCCTGTGGCTATTTTTACCCCATACGTAAATGCAACTCCTTTTTTTTCTCTTCGTATGTTTTTCTTTTTGTTCTTTTGCCATGAAGAACTAGATTCAGGAGAATAAATGTATGATTAAATTGACTCAAATTTATTTTGACCTCCTGAAGCCCAAAACATTTTTTTACAATGAATTTATTTCCTAAAATATGTTCAGAATTTTTTTTCGTTAAATGGCTAACCTGTTAGGGACCATACTATCTAGATTTTATAATGTTTTGTATATTGACCTAACCTTTGATTAGAATGTTGATAACTGTGTACTTGTGTCTTTGCCCATTGAAAAATAATACTATGGAATGGATTTTGGTGTGATTCAATGTGAAAACAATTATATCTGTATATCAAACTTATGCATAAAGTACTTAAGTTTAAAATCAGCAAATACAGTACTCTCATCTAGAGGGTAAGTAAGAGTAAAGGTAAAGATAGGAGAATAACCCATAACTTGCAGGGTCATTGTGCTGGATTGTGTTTGGGCGTCGTCCATGTCTACCTAGTGACCGTAAAGAGGCACTTCATGGAAACTACATGTTCATATCATTCAACAACAACAGGGACTGAAATGAATCATAACATTTCAAAGGTAACCCCCCTACTCTTCCGAAAGATGCAATGAGCCAGATGTATACACTGGACCTCCAATTTAAGTCCTTATCCGAGAAGACAAGCCAAGGGCGAGAAACGGGTGGAACCAGCACTGAATACTTTATACTTTAAATTTATTCAATTAATTTCTAAGCCTACTTTCTAAGCCTATTTTTTTTACATTGTAGATAATCCATGTGTCCCTAACCCCTGCAATAACTCTGCAGAATGTGAAGTAATTACTGATAACAGTTATGTGTGTAATTGTCTTGATGGATTTACTGGAGAGAACTGTGAATTTGGTAAGTTTTTTATTTTCATCATTGTTAAGATAAATATTTATTAAGTCAAATATTGTTCACTTTGGAAAGCTTTCAAACCAGCATTTACTGGACATTCTACAACCAGATTATTGGGGGGCACTATTATCGTCATTATCTCAAATCATATATGATATTATTTTTAATTTTTATTATTATTATGATCATCATCACTATTATTATCATCTTATTATTCTTATTATTTCTAATTTTATCCTTTTCCTTATATTTGTATTATTTTTCAAATAATGTTATATATTTTTTTTATTTTAATGATTGTGCGATGGTTTCTTTTATGTTTGTTTCGTAATTTTAGTAAATTCTATTTCAGTGATGTAAAAGTTATTTGCTGCCATGTTTTTAATGATTTTTAATTGAATAAATACCAGTATATTTGTTTTAACAAATGTTTAATATCTTTGGTGGTTGTTATTCATTCCAGTTGACCCCTGCACTAATAATACTTGTCAGAATAATGCTGATTGTAAGTTACTAAATGAAACCTCTTACTATTGTGTGTGTGCATATGGATTCCAAGGGCCAAGCTGTGAACAAGGTCAGTCAATGCCATATTTTTATTCTTTAGCAATAACTTAGATTATACTATATTATGTACCACATACATAGATTCTAGGCACCTGATTGGTTAAAAGGCAGGTAATAACTTCCACCATCATACATATGATGTAGGTTGAATGATAGTTAATAAATTCTAGGGGAAAAGAACTACTATCACATTAAATGTTTTGCCTTGTCATGATGTAACCTCCAGGCCCCACTTAACGTTGCTGTGCAATTTATGACACGCACAGACTGTAAAGGGGATGTGACCACTTCGACACTGAGAGAGATTGGCCTTTTGACTGCCTAGGCTTAAAAAGTAAGTCGAGGTGGTCAAAGGACTTCATTGTGTTATTTATTCATTTGAACACTGTATATATTGTATTTAACACACTGTTTCTCAAATTCTTTTATATTATATACAGGGTAATGTGCTCTTAATTAAGCGCTGTGCTTATTTTAAATAGAACAATCTTGAATAATGTTTGGTGGGGCTCTTATTTGAGAGCGGTATTTATTCTAGGATTTACGATACTTATAATGAATTTTAACATGTTTTTTACGTATCAGAGGAAGCTGTTTGTACTGCTTATGGCGACCCTCATTACACAACCTTCGATGGCCTCAAGTATGACTTCCAGGGTCGTTGTCAGTATGTACTGTCAGAATCCTGCAATAGTTCCAGTACTTACTTCCGTGTGGAAGCAAACAATGCTGAACAAGAAACAAACAATGAAGTTTCTATCACAAAGGAGATATATACTTATGTGTTTGGCCAGGTAAGATATTTTATTTTATTTTTTTTATTTATTTATGTAGGCACGAAACACATGCACCAAGGATTGTAAATAGCAAATATATCGCTGCCCTACTTGTACGTGACAATCCCTTTCACAGGACAAACATATACACACAGTGCTTTACACAAACTAAATCTCAATATGAGATTTAGGGAGTGGAGTTGTTTTGGTCATGAGAAAAAATCCTGCAACACTGACAGGAATTGAACCCAGTACCTTGGGATTGGAAGACACGCTCCTTAACCACCAATTCCACCCCAATATTAATTTATTATTACTTTCTGCCAAGGAGGTTATGCATTCAAAGCTGTTTGTCTGTTAGCAGGATTATGTATAACTACTGAATGCTCATAAAATTTAGGGGGTGGTAAATATGGGAATAAGAAAAAGGTGTAGGCCTAATTGAATTTTGGGATAAAAAGGTCAAAGGACAAGGTCAAGGTCACAGAATCACCTGTTAACTGAAGGGATCTATCAATTTGTGCGACGACATGATGCTCAAATGGATTCACTCTTACGTGACGATTCTACCGTTCTCTGCACAACGTAGATTTGGGCCAAATTGCATCCATGCAAAAATGAAGATGCAAGTTTCTTGAATGTACAGATGACTTCTTTGTGACGTCATTACATTCTACTTCCTGCCATCGCTGTGCAGTCCTAATGATTTCATCATTCTATACCTAACTGCTATTCAATGAAATGTTCATTACCAAACTAATGTGTAATAAAATAAATGTATGTTTTTATAAAAACTTTTGTAGGAAATAGCATTCCTTCAGGACAATGTGATCTATTTGAATGGTTTACACGTGCAAGCTCCAATTCGATCCATACCTGGGATGTCTGTGCAATTTGTTGGTCTTTACCTGGTAAGTATTTCAGTCCATCTATACAGTTGATAATCATGACAAGCCCCCTCTGTTGTCATGGTAATATCAACTCTGCTGTATTCATCCAGGTAAGTATCTCACTCATAGACCACCAACATCATGATTGATTTGTGTAATCTATAAAGTTGGTAATCTTGACAAGCCACCCCC